ATTTGGTTTGAGAGTATTTTAAACCATTTTGGAGTAGGACCTCATGGAGGTTTGAGAGTTCTAAGATATATATTTTTCCAAGAAAAAAGGTTTTGATTATCAGCTGTAAGTAATTGTTCTAAGAAAAGAATTTTATTGTTTTTGAGACTTAAAGTTGTTGAGTTGTTAGGACTTGCAATAAAATTATAAATATTGTTTATTTGATTAGTATATTTGTAGTTTGTTAGTTGATTTAAGTAGGTGTTGTTAATAGAAATATTGTTTTTGTATAGGTGATGAAGTTGGAGAGAAGAAGATATTTAAATATATTATTTTCTAATATTTGAAGTACATTATCAATATTAGTTAAAATTCAAAAAATTTTAAATAAAAAAAAATTCTAAACTTTACTATATATTTTATTTAAAGATTAAGGTTTGTGTTATTCATCTATTCAACAAAGATCTTCTACTATTTAATATATTCTTCAAACATATTTTTGATTTGACCAAATTGTTCTGTAAACTAAGTTTCAAAAAGATGATGTATATTAAAATTTTTTAGTTATTAATCTACTATTATTAATTGGTATTGTCATCAACTTGAAATAGGTTTTTGGTATTTTTATAAGGTATATTTTAGAAGTTTCTAATATAATTTTCATATTGTATTTGATTTTATATTTACTAGACTTCTCTTATCACTCTCACTATAATTATTATATAGATAATAAATGAATTAAAGAGATTATAAAGGTGCTTTTGCAAAGATAGTTCTAATACAATATTTAACTTATCAAAGATAGTATTTTTAAATATAACTAAAACTAATTATAGTACATATAGACCACATGGAATTCTAAATAAATATATTTATTTGTAAATTAAATTCAACAATAGTACCTAATTTACTTCCTAACATATATAATATATTATCTCTAATCTAAAATCCATACTGTCTTGGGCCCAAATTGTTTTTTATATATGTTTCTATTATAAATTTACTATAATAATACCAATACATTTATCTAAATTAATTATTTTTATAAGAATAATAGTTGGATAATTTTTATATTCATTCCAAAAAAAAAATTAAAAATATCTTTTTATCTTCTCTAGTATTTTCATCAACCATTACACTATATGAAAAAAAGATAAAAAAAATTCTTCTAATTGATTTTGATAAAATAATATCTTAGAAATTTCTTTATTTCATTATGAAAGAATTTTTGATAAAAGTGAATAATTGAATATTTTATTAGTAAAGAAAATTATTATTAATCTCATGCATTTAGTTGTTGCTAAAAGAGAAATAATCTTAATATTATTTATATTTATGATGAATATAATAAATTTAGCTAAGTATATATGATTATTTTCCTTTATTATTCTTTTTACTATAGTTTAGAATTGATTTTTTGTTTTTTTTTGATTTTTAAATAATAGACTGAATTTTGAAAATATATTTCTGTTTCATTTCTTCTGCTTGTATCATCTTTATATAGAATGACATAATCTCATTATTTGATATACTTAATAATTTAGCTAGTTTTTTATTTTTAGTTTTTAATTTTTTTATTTTATTTTATAAAGCATATATAAATAAAGAGTGTTTAAAAAGATCACTAGTTACAAATTTATTCACTTTATCTTGTAAGTATAATGACAATATTTTATCTTTAGTTTTATTTTTAGAATATGACATTATAATAATTAAATACTTAATGCTTAGAATTTGATTATTTGATAAATTTTTTACTTTATTAATTAATGCATTAAGTTTTTTTTTGATACTACTTTGTTATTTGAGGTTGATTAAATCAATATAATTTTGTATTTTTATTAATTCATCTTAATTCAAGGGATTAAGAAGTTTATAAATATTAACATTTAGAAGATTTATTGAATTAATATAGTTTTGAACTTTTATTAATTCTTCTTTATCCAAAGAATTAATGATCTCATAGATATTGATCTTATAACATTGTTTTTTAACTTTACAGCCTTTATTAAGTTTTTGTAAATATTTTCTTTTATTTGTTAAGTGAGTCATTTTTAACAAATTTGAATCAACTTTGAATATAAAATTTTATGTCTTAAATAAATATCAATTTATTTTCAATATAATCTTATCAATTTACAATTAATATATGTTGTAATAAAAAATTCTAAATAAATTTACAAGAGTATTTAATTTTTATTTTAAAATTATTTTATTTTTCTGATTTACAATTCAATGTAGTAAAAATTATTAAATTCCATTTATTTTTGAAATATGCCACTTGTTTGTTAAATTTGAAAACCCAATATATGGATTTAGAATTAATGATTAATCATAATACTTATTTATTTAACATAGTAAAAATATTATTGAAAAAAATTCATTTATATTTTCAAAACGCGTCATTTATTTGTTAACTTTGAAACCCCTATATACAAAATTTATATATAATAATGTGATTTTATTTAATATAGTAAAAATATTATTGAAAAAAATTCATTTATATTTTCAAAATGCGTCATTTATTTGTTAACTTTGAAACCCCCATATACAAAGTTTATATATAATAATGTGATTTTATTTAACATAGTAAAAATATTATTGAAAAAAATTCATTTATATTTTCAAAATGCGTCATTTATTTGTTAACTTTGAAACCCCCATATACAAAGTTTATATATAATAATGTGATTTTATTTAACATAGTAAAAATATTATTGAAAAAAATTTATTTATATTTTCAAAATGCGTCATTTATTTGTTAACTTTGAAACCCCCATATACAAAGTTTATATATAATAATGCGATTTTATTTAACATAGTAAAAATATTATTGAAAAAAATTCATTTATATTTTCAAAACGCGTCATTTATTTGTTAACTTTGAAACCCCCATATACAAAGTTTATATATAATAATGCGATTATATTAGAAATCCAAGTATTTTAACTTTAAATAAGACTTGACACGTTTATATGCATATCTACATCTCAACACGCAAGTTTGATCACATGGTAATTATATACAAGTTCACATCTTTAAAACGTTATAACTCCCACTCTAGTGAAGCAAATTTAATTCTGTAAGTTGCGAATGGTGCATAATTAGAGTGGTTTTGAATTTATGTTGCAATATTTAGTATAAATATGTAAGTTGAATGTGTTTAACTCAAAAATAACGACGATTTACTATTAAAATTTAATAAATTCGGAATTTTAGTTAAATTAATAAAATAAATTAGAAAATGTCTCCACATAGGCTTAAAATTATACCGTTTATATATCATTTGCAAGTTATAGAATCGAATTTGCTTTACTAGAAAAAGAGTTATAACATTTTAAAAATACATTGTTTTTATTATCAAATCACTATAATAAAATTTTTTAATAAATTGATCGACAAAATTTTAAAAATCTTACTTAGTAGGCCAATCATATAGTGCTGCACTATGATAGTAAATCATTTAGTATGCGACACCTCAATCTTAGATGGCCAAAGGGATTTTCAAGATCAGGTTAGACATCACTAACTTACTAGTTACAATGTACATGCACTAAATTTAACCCTCAAAAAGCTGTAAACAAAAAAACCGTCAACAAAAATAACTAAAATAAAACATAAAAAAAACTGTAAAAAAAAAAAACTGTAAATAAAAAGACATTCTAAAAATCTAGATATAAAATCCGGCAAGTATATAATTGCATCATTTTGAGTATTTTCCCTGTTCACTTCGGCAATGTTGTCGAAATTGCCAAATAATGTCAATCTCGATTGTCAATTCCCAACATAAATTGTCCCAATTTAACTCCAATGTTTGATAAATATCTGATATTGGTGTTAGTGTTATAGACTTATTTTTATTTTTATTTGTCAGGTCATATGAACTGATCGTTTTTATTAGCCAGATCACATGAAATTTGGAATATTTTATTTCCGGGTCAGAACACCGCGGTAAAAATGCGATAGGATTATGTGACATTATATAACAGGGCTTAATGACTCAATAGGTATATGTAAAGGTTTAAAAGCACAAATGGCATTAAATAAATATAGGACATTAATAATTCTAGTGCCGAATATTTTCTTTACGTATACAGTATACACAACAACATTCGCTACATTTTGTAAGCAAGTTTGCCAAGTTTGCTAAATTTGATATTGTGTTAAATAAAGAATACTTTGTATAAACCCTCTCGCTTATTCATACTGATACTTTGACAATAACCATTTGCTTGAAAATATGGATACCACGTTAATTTCTAAAGGTAAAATCTATGAAGCTTAGAATCATGTAAACTTTTGACTAAAGATTGATTGATTTTCTATTGCCGTGTTATTTATTATCGCTTAAACAAAGCGCAGTGACATCACTTGGGATACTAATATTCTTTAGTAACGATGGTTCTTCAATTAATTGAACATGCATACCCGCGTCCAAATGCCATTGTATATGGCAGTGGAAAGACCATACACCAGGGTTGTTTGCAAGGTAGCGAATCACTGTAGTACTATAAAATAGAAAATTATTATTTAGCGTTAGTTTGAATAAATTCATTGTGAAATAAGTATAAAGTAGCTATGTATATACCTATTTGCTAAAACTGTTACTACATCACGATAAGAAGGATCAATCAAATTAAAATTTGATTTGTGTGGTATTTCGAGGCCAGTTTGACTGTTTCCATTGTAAATAATAAAAAACCTGTGTCCATGCTATTTTATTTTATTATTATTAATTTTTATTTTTAACAATAAATAAATAAATAAAATGTGGAAACGTGTCTCGAGAAAAAAGAACATAATAATCTTAATTAACAATACCAAATGGAACGGGTGAGGATCAGTATTATTATTAATAATATAAAGTTCAACGGCCGCATCATCACATTTTGTAGTGTTGCATTCATAGACATAAGCGTTATCATATTGTGGAAGATTATACGGGTTTACACCTTCAATAATTCTTTGATTTGTTGGATAATTAAAGTTAGGTACCTGAAAACAAATAATAAATTAATCAATTACGCGCCATAAAATAATAATAATGATTTATAAAATTTTTAACACATTCTTTAAAAAAACAAAACTTACAAAACTTGAATTGTTTATTAAAGCAACACTTTTTCCTGTCAATGCTATCTTGCCAAAAGAAACTATTAAGTTAATTCTGGCAATAATAGTTTGAGGCAATTTTCTTATGTAATATGACTTTAAAGTATTTGGATCAATGTCTCTACACTCCTCTGAAACATTATAAATATAATCCTTCGAAGTTGGAAGTTTAGTTTTAGCCCCTTCATATTTCAAAATTCCCATTACATTATAAGTTAATGCAGTATCATAATTTATAGTTCGATTATTGATCGGTGTGCAAATCGACATTTTTGCGCGAATCTGATAACTATCTACTCGTTTATTAGCATTAAGAATTACAGAATATCGTTGCCCAATGCTAATTGGAATAGTGTTTAGAGTGACTGGTTTTATTAATTCACCATCAACTTCAAAAAGCGTAAGTGGGTGATTATCAATTGAAAGTATGAAGTGAGTTAAAGTGCTCATGTTTATTAATCTAAATCTGTATTTTTTACCCGATTTAACAACATAAGTAGCGATCTTGTTGTTTGGATTACACGTTGAATTTTCAGGGGCGGCGTTGCAATCATATTGTCCAAAGCCACTAATTTCACCGGAATCAGGAAGAGGATCAAATCCTCTATAGTTATCATCACGAAAGAGTGGAAGGAGAACACCGGATGGTGTGTGGTACCAATCCGACAATGTCATTACGTATTCGAAATCGTATTTTTCGAGGTAGGGGTCGTTGGGATAATGAACTATTAATGGTCCTCTGAGACCATCAGTAATTTGACCCAGGATATGGGAATGATACCAATAGGTGCCTTGATTATTATTTATTCGTACAAAGTATGAATAAACATTCTGTTGAACGATGAATCATAATCATTTTAAAAGAAACTTGCCATATTGTTTAAGGGTGAAATTGTAGAGAAACGAAACGCCATTGGGAATCGCACATTGTGTTATACCTGCAACTCCGTCATAAAAGTTTGTACGGTTTTGAAATATACCATGCCAATGGACTTAATAAAAACCAATTTTTTAACATTAAAATTAAAATGGTTATTAGAACAGATAATTGGATTATTTAATTTACCAGAAGATGGATGTCCAAATTTATTGGTTACGTTGACGAGAAGTCTGTCTCCATAGTTTGCTTGAATTATCGGGGCAGGATATTGGCCATTAACAGTCCATCTAAATTTTGAGAATAAAGAAAAAACATTAAGAAACAAAAGGAAATCAAACTTTATCAATTTATGAATCTTACACTAAACGTGTATATCCATCAGGAGCCAACTCCTTTACTACTAATTCTATGTTGTAACACCTAATTACAGGGCCATCGGTTGATGGTAAGGGTTTAAGGACTTTAAACATATCTGAAGAAACATAGGTACATTCGTATGATTGGCTATGATATGGAGGCCAGTCTAACCAAGCTGGGTTACTTGAGCTGAATAATATAAGGATTACGAGTATTAATTTAATTCCCATATTTGTTTTCAATAAAACGAAACTAATTTATTAAATGATAAATCACTCTTTTTAAACGGTATGTCCTTTTTCATGCAAAATGTACATTAATATTGATTGATCCCATTAAATCCTTGCAGGTGCATTTCATATGAAATTCTTATTGACGTTATTGATAGGGTTACCATTTAATATATAATAATGTTAATAAATTTAATAATTTCAACAATCAGATTGGAAGTTTTAATGGCAGTGCCAGTTAATTAACAAATATGGAGATTTTCAAGGGTAAATTTAGTCAACAAATATTGATAATTTGACCTAGATTATACATATGGTCGAATTTTTTCGATTCAGTGATTATTAAGGATTAAATAATAACCATTTCATAAAATTTTATCCAATCATTTGTGTTGTAAGATCGTAAATTGCTTATAAGTTATAAATTGATGTTAAGGCTGGTATAAATTGTCATATGATTCGGCCAGCTTTAATATTCCATACTGGGAACTGGGTATGTACTCAACGGACTTCCTAGCGTTACAAACTTATAAAAATATCACCGGTCAATCAGATTTCAAGATCAGGTATAACGCAGAAAAAATAAATCGGGCATAACTCAATTTACTTATGAAACCATCTTATACATCTCTATGGACCGGATATAAGTATGCACCTAGAGGAGATGTGCATTTATAGAATTAACTTAAATGGCTAATCAAAAGTGAAGTCAAACATGTGATCATTACTTTAACATGGTCACTACATAGTAAAGTTCAAAGTATATTATGTAAATCGATTATAATCGCTTAAGTAAACTTGTTCAAAAGATCAAAGCACAATATATTTTGAAAATTTTATCAATATTGAAAAACTTTTTATTATTTGTTTTTAATTTTTACATTCACTGAAAAAATAAAAATTTTTTTAAAAAAGAAGTTTTTTAACTGCCAGCCTACAACTAAACAATATTTACAACTTCATTACATCTCCAAATAACTCAACAACCTCAAGTTTAAAAAACAACAAAATACTCTTTCTTGAACAACTACTTACAGCTAACAACCTTTACTTACTCCCCTGGAAAAACATATACCTTAGAACTCTTAAATCTCCTCGAGGTCCTATTTCAAGCTGATTTAAAACACTCTCAAATCAAACCTCTACTCTTCCTATTTTACAAATATGGCCTAATCTCTAACTTCAATCCATCGACCCATTTCTAAACACACTTAATCTCATTACACCATAATCTGACAGTTACAAAAACACATGGACACTCTACACCTCATCCTTAAATTGGCATATTGGCAAAATTACAAACATATCCAACTCCCAAATTCATCTTCAAAAATACCAAATTACTAATTCAACGACTAACACAACTCATATCTCCCCTACATCCACAATGCTTCAAATAAATTACAACCAAACAATCAATCTAAAATGCAAAACCCAAAAAAGAATACAATACTTCGAACTTAATATAAATTATCAAGAAATCAAAGCACTCCAAAGTATTCATGCAGAGTTATACAAACCTGCTCCGCAACTCTTACCATCTCTTCTATTACCTTCTCCAGAAATCATCCAAATACAAAACATAATACCTAACTCCATATATCAAAACCAACTCATAAACCTTCATTAAAAAATACTACTTCTTGATCCAACTAATTTACACTTTTATACATATGCCTCTATACTCAACTCACAAACACAAAATGCATCTACAGGCATTGCCTGGATTCTCGAAAATAATACACAGATCAAATTTAATGCCTCCATAACCAATGCACCCAACTCCACACGAGCAGAATTAGCAATACTCATTCCTCTATTTCTCATCTTACCTACTAATTACCAAATCCATATTCACCTCGATAATTTATCTACCATTCAAACCCTTACAAATGCAATACCTTATAACCAAAACTCTCAAACTAAACAAAATAACTGGAACATAATTCATATTCTAAATTACTTAATCAAACACAAAAACATTAACTACACCACCCATAAAGTTAAATTACACTCAAACAATACATTACATAACATAGCTAATGCTTTAGCTAAACAGGGTGCTTGTAAAACTGAACTAAAAATCAATCTTGACTATCTCTACCTACCTGCATTTTTTACTTGGAAAAAAATACCAATTATATACAAACTACGAAAATTCTGTAAAAACTTACTTTCTATTCAAACATTCAACAAACTCTTACAACTCAAACCACTAC